TTTTACCTAAAGGGCCATTCATACAGATACGTCTATGGACTTACATCTTTTTGCAGAATTTACAAATGGGAAAATACTCTCTCCACTGACTAAAGGGTGTCCAGAAGGTGTAGAAGGCAGGCTTGTGATATCTTTGGACAGAGCTGCTCTTTACTTTAATTCTACCTCTAGCCCCAACACATGTGGGAAAGAGACTAACTTACTTGCCTGGAACTCAGTGACATCATTTCTAGGGCACCCAGGAGTTTGCTTTAGCTGCCATAGAGCCGGGTGGTTGCAAACAATGAGCTTTGCTCCTGATGCCCATCAGGAGACCCGGCGGCAGGGTGGCAGATGCTGGAAAGGGTGGCTGTGTTGGAATGCTCTGCACACCTATGGTTTGTGGGCACAAACGATGCTTCAGCGTTTCCTACATCCCGGGTTTAGGCCCGAGGGAATTGGAAGAGCCTACAAAAGCGCACACAAGAGGAATCTCTGCTTTGAGCACCAGCGGCCCGGAGCATACACACATTCTTTTCCCACGGACATCGCCCGCCGTTTCTCCTCTCTCCCTCTCTCTGCACCCACCCCGGCTGGAGCACGCGGAAGAAGAAACACTCCCTCCTGCCTCCAAACTCCCAGCAAGGGGGAATTATTCATCTTCAGTTAAGCTGGGGCCTTGTTACACAGAACTACACAACCTCGTTGCTGAATTAAGATATATTTGTGCAAGTGAAAGGAATTAGAGGATAGTCTGTTAACTAAAACTGAGCACGCTCCCCGTGGTATGCTACCATTGCTGTGCAATGACAGGGAAATAGCTCCCCAGTGAGAATCTGGAAGGAGCAATCGCAGACACAGGGATTGCAGCTCACTCAAAAATCTCATTAAGGCTTATCCAACCCACCAGTGACATTCGTATGCTTCAGGTTTTCTAAAATACAACAAGACAGTGCCTTAAAAACAGAGTGTGATCAAATAGCATTTAATTTAAAAATTGATGAGCAAACAAAAATCATATAATTGGATTGATTAAAATAGACTTTTCCAGTTCTCCTTCCCTGAGTCCAATACACACATAGGTGGACTTATGAAACCCTTCTGTGTTCCAAAAAGCATCCCGACCCGGTGAGACCCGCAGCGTAGGCCTTGTGATAGACTGCTGCATTTAAAGGTTCTGGACCGTGTCTCCCATGGACGTGACTGAAGCCATTCCCTAGTTGCGGGAGAGTGAATGGGAGACTCACTGGTGAGCGCAGGCACGCTTCCCAAAGATAAAAGCAGCTTTGTGTGGCATGCCCTCTGTTCCTCTGCACGTGCTGGCTTCTGAGTGGCAGGATGGCAAAGGAAGTTGCAAGTAGCTCTCAAGTTGCGGAATGTGGAAAGAACAGGAGGAGGTGCTGGGCGAGAGAGCGACTCCGGCTGTTGACTGGCCAGGGGGGAGGCTATTGAAGGCAGCAGCTCTGAGGCACCTTCTGTGATTTTTAAATCAATCTTTCCCGTCACAGTCTCTGGGTCAGTGAGCTAAGCTTGTGCTCTTGTGCTCAGGCTGTCGTGATGGAACCTGTGATGGGCTGGTGGACAGGTACTCTGAGACATGGATTCAGAGTTTCCAAAGCCTCTTGTGCGTGCGCATACACAATAAGAGTGTGTGTTTGTGTTTGTATATATAAAAATATGTAAACATATGTATATATGTATATGTACAAAAACTATCCAAGCAAAGAAGGGCGATTTTAACCTCTGGGGCCTGTGCAGAGAGAACTCGGGCCTTCAAAGTGCTGGGTCTCAGGTGGAGGTGAAGAGAGAATGAATCATCCTCTCAGCTGGAGGTGAGCCTAAATACCATGCCACCATGCGGCCCTTACCCACGCTGGACCCGTTAGGAAGGCCCATAACCCCCCACCCCACCACACTTGTTGACTCATTTCAGCCGCCTAGCTTCTGCCTCCTGTCAGGATCGGAGGAGAAAAGATACAGAACAAGGAAAGTCCTACATGGGGATTTGGGAAAGGAATGCCCAGATCAAATCCCCACAGCTCCGGTTGCCTCGGCAGGAGAAGCAGCAAGGTTCTTAGTGCTGGAGGGGGAAGGGCAGGGCAGGGAGCAAAAAGAAGGGGCTGGAGGCTCTCAGAATTCCAGCCACACAAACACGAGGGTCCCAGACTTGGCCTGGTCCCATGTGAAAGTTCTCATTTCCCAGGCCTGACCTATAACCCACACAATATTTCAGTATTTTCTCAGGTCTAGGCTTATTGCTGTGGGAGAGCCAGAGTGAGCTATGGTGGATATAGTATTTGCATTTAGTCTTTTTTTTTTTTTTTTTTTTAATTCTCATTTAGCTCTATGGTCTTGTCTGTGCTATGGGAGACAGACTTAGGACTCGGCATTTCTTGGGCCCTCCTTGCCTCAGGTTTCAGTGGACACGCTGCTGTGGGGTTTGAGGGTGGCAGCTAGGCTGAGGCCCTCTCATGCATGGACACAAAGGCTTCCAGACAGGAGTCTTGGCAAGTCGCCGGGTTTCAGGAACATTCCTTCCCTTGGGGCTCTCGAGGAGCTAGATGTCCGCAGTGGCTCCCACAGGCCTCTGACCTCTGACCTCTGAGCGTCAGGAAGGTCTTGCTGGCTATGCTCCTTCAGAACCCTAGCAGTGTGAAGGTAAACTTCCTGAAATAGAGCAGAACTGTAGCAAACGCCCTGGGGGTGTCTACGGGGTTTCTATTTCCCGACTGAACTCTGAGTACAGGGGCTCCTCACCGTCCATGCACCATGAAGACCCCAGGAGCCTCAAAAACTTCCTCAATCATGTTGGAGGAGCCAGGGAATCCTGAGTGGTGTCCAGGGAGGAACTTTTCTACTGTTGCAGAGAAAGGGAACCGAAAGTCTTTTGCAAAATCTCCCTGATTTAGTAATCTCAGGAGGAGAACCAATAAGTGCTTTAGTCTGAGTAGTGTCATAAGTTGCTGGGCAACACCTCGGATTCAAGGTGTTATTCTGATATGTAAAATGTTTTTCTGTAAGATGTCTCTGAGATGACCATATGTTTATTGAGCTACTTATAAGAATGAAGCATGAGGGCAACAAAGGGCAGACACAGAAAAATCACAGTTGGTTTTATCTTCAAAAGAAGAGATGGCAAAGCCTGAACCACAGGATCACCTCTCAGCAGGCGGACACTGTGCAGCTCTCCTCGGGCCCATTCCCCCGCCTCCAGGAAGTGTCCTGAACAGTTACAGGACAGAGCTGTGCTGTGGGTCTCCTCCAAGTGACCTAGAAGTCAGTGTCATGTCCAAAGCCCTTGGATGTGATCAGACCACCCGTGTGTATGGCGTGGGTGCCCCACGATTTGTGAGGCAGCTGCAGGGCAGGGTAAGGCCTCAACCCAGCAGTGGGAAAGTCCACCCTGGGCAAATGTATCATAACTGATATTAAACAGGGAGCTCACCATCTGATGGGCTGCCTCATCTACAGGTCTCTCTTCATTGAAGGTCTCTGGATTCCAGCACTTTCTATGTGTGTTTTCATTTCCTTTTGTATTGCACTATGTTTTTAAAAACATGAAGACCAACATGTCTTGACTTCCAGTTTTCTCAATAGTAAATATCGAAATTAAGTCTTTGGATCAGAACTTATGACATGAGGGAGTAATGGCAGCTCATCTCCATCACTTGCAGTAAAACTAGCTCTGCCCAATCGACTTCAGCCTACTCACCAACCCGAGTCCTCAAATGAGGCGTGTCCCCCACAGTCCACTCCATCTCTGGCCAAATGTAAGATGGCAAGGATTGGTAAAATGTAGCCCTTTCATAGTTCACTGTTTTCAGCAATCACTACCCATTTCTACCCCCTCCATTTCGGGGAGTGTTGAAACTTAGTTTCTCCTTCAGAGTTCCCTAAGGATAGTATAGTGCCAGGGATCCTAACTCTTGAGAAGCTGGCCACTGGAGTCTAGGACACTGAAGGAGAAGCCTGAGGCAATAAGAAGCTCCTTAAACCCTAGCCAGTTTGGCTCAGTGGATAGAGTGTTGACTTGAAGACCAAAAGGCTCTGGGTTCAATTCTGGTCAAGGGCACACACCTTGGTTGCAGGCTCCTCCCTGGACCAGGCCCTGGTTGGGGCTTGTGAAGGAGATAACTAGTCAATGTGTTTCTCTCACATTGATGTTTCTCTCTGCCTTTCCACTCTCTCTAAAAAGCAATGGAAAAGTATTTTACAGTAAGGATTAACAAACAAACAAAAAGAAGGAGGAGGAGGAGCTCCTTAAGTAAAGCTGTCCTTCAATATTGCAAGATTTGGGGATTCTTCTTAGCCTGATAATTTACCTCCTCCTCCTCCTCCTTCTCCTCCTCCTCCTCCTCCTCCTCCTCCTCCTCCTTCTTCTTCTTCTTCTTCTTCTTCTTCTTCTTCTTCTTCTTCTTCTTCTTCTTCTTCTTAAATATATTTCATTGATTTTTTTACAGAGAGGAAAGGAGAGGGATAGAGAGTTAGAAACATCGATGAGAGAAAGTCATCCATCAGCTGTCTCTTGCACACCCCCTACTGGGGATATCTCCGCAACCTCAAGGTGCATGCCCCTTGACCAGAATCAAACCCGGGACCTTTCAGTCCGCAGGCCGACGCTCTATCCACTGAGCCAAACCGGTTCGGCAAATTTACCTTCTTTTTTAGATGATTTGTTGTCTCTTAAAATAGTAAGAAACTAGTAAGCTCCCCAGCTGTCACAGCACATATGCATAATCTGCCTCTAACTCTCACTTTAGGTTTTTTATTGATTATATTTTCACTAACTACTTCTAGAACTTGGATTGGGATGGAAAAGTGTGAGTGATTGCCTAACATTCTCAAAAACTTATTTTTTGTTGTTTTGTGTTCATTTGTTTAAGAGCTTTACCTTTTATCTATCTCCTTTCCCAGACCCTTTACAAAAGTCCTTTCCTTAGCAACAGATGAGTCACCTTAAAACACTGTTGATTGGCTGCAGCTCAACTGATTTAAATTTTAATCAATCCGACACTATTTTTCACACTACGTCCCCCTGTTTCACTCCTATCTGTTCTGTTCCACTCTTGAGCTCTGCTGACCCTCATCAAGGGACCCAAGAAGACAATGGCCATAACTGGAGACACAGTGTTAGGGTTTTTCATCACAGTGGTCCTGCTGTGCTGTCAGGAATCATGGGCTATCAAAGGTAAGTGCTGAGAGAATCTTGACTGGGGAGAACAAGCTCTGAGAGCTGGTGGATTGTGGAAAGACGCTATTTGGAGTGAAAGAAATGCTTTATAGGTATTCTGTGGGTATAAATCTGAAGCATAGTACGTTGAAGATGGAAGAGTTCTCTTCTCACCACAATTTGAAGTAAGTCAAATTTAGCTTAGAAGAGCAAAACTGAGTTGTATATTTTTTTGAGGTAAGGCTAAGTTGAGAAAGAAATCTTGTCTGGAAGGCATTAGCAAGCTGCCTCTCTGGGCTTTAATTTATCTTTCTAGAACATTAGTAAAATTGAAAACCTCACACAATACTGTGAGGACTAAATGAGAAAATTCAAGCGATTCTTAGCTGGACACCTCGTAGTTGTTTTTTGGCATGTGAATCCTGTCAGAATATTTTAACAATGGCATTTTGTGGAAGATCACCAGAAAGGAAAGTCCCCGAAAGGTAACAGTCTTCCCAAGGGAGGGGGAGGACAGGTGTGCCTATATGAGCTGCATTTAACTCACTGCCCTGGGACAGTGACAGGCCCTCCTTATTGGATCGTACAATGATCTTTGATCACTGCTACGTAGTGATTACCCCAGGACAGTAGAAAAATGAGTAAGGAACTGAAGAGCCAATGTTCTCTACCATCTCCTGAGCAGACATTGTGCTGTAGTGAAGATGTATTGAGAAGAAATACCTTTCACCCAGGCGACCACCGCAGAGGGTGGCAGGCACACTGGAATAAAGGAATATACCACCTCCCATATCCATGCGTTCAGAGATCATAATAATCTGGCCACTCAGTGCACTTAACTTGTCTGATTTAAATAAAAAACAAACCCATGGAAGAAGCAAAACCATAAAGGAAAATAATTTAAAAATGTACATGTAAGGAGGTGAAATTATCTGCCCAAGATCACTAGGTAAGTAAATAGCTGAATAAGAATGCAAACTTTAATTTGATTCCAGAGTTCAGAACCCAACCTTTTAGGAGCTGCTGCTGGATTTCTAAAGTGGGATCATCCTCAGCTAGTGACCTGGAGGCAAAGCACAGCTTCACAAGACTCAGGCTCTTCAGTCCATTTCCTTCAGTCCACCCTCTCTAACATGCCCCTAATTCCTCCCTTCAGTCTCTGTTCAACACCAAGATGCTTCACCCAGCCTCATCTTCCCACTCCTACTCTCCGTCACTCCTTCACTCCTCTTAGCCTACCAGCCCCTGCCCACGTGCCTCTCAGACCTGGGTTCCTCATCTCTCTGGGCTTGTTCCAACCCTAACTCCCTTTTCTACCCTTTCAGAGGATCATGTGATCATCCAGGCCGAGTTCTACATGGAACCTGACTCAACCGGCGAGTTCATGTTTGACTTTGATGGTGATGAGATCTTCCACGTGGACATACAAAACAGGGAGACAGTCTGGCGGCTGAAAGAATTTGGCACCTTTGCCAGTTTTGAGGCTCAGGGTGCATTGGCCAATATCGCTGTGGACAAAGCCAACCTGGAAATTATGATGAAGCGCTCCAATTACACCCCGAATACCAACGGTACTTCTCCCCGCTGCACTCCTAGGTGTGGGGATCGTAGCTTTAAAATAGATACTTCAGCTCTTTTTGTTATTGTAAATGACTTCCCCTTCCAGGGGCCTAATCTTGCCATATCAAGCCCTAAATTCTCATGTTACAGGCCCAACAATTTTTCATTTCCTGATGATCTCACATCTTGTCTCTGCCATCCCCTGTCATTCAAAAAGTTATTGCCCCGAATCTATGCTTGGGGAGCCAGGAATGAAGTCCGTGGTTACCTCAATAATGGTTACAGTTTATGGGTGAACATGTCAGAGATAGGTATCTGAGTCTATGGCAAAGGTTATCGGGCACAATGTCATCTTTTCAGTTTTAGAGAGAGAGAGAGGAAGGGACCAAGCCTAAGCGAGGGAGGCTAATTTCTGTCATGTGTCCCCCAGTACCTCCAGAGATGACTGTGTTCCCGAACAAAGCTGTGGAACTGGGAGAGCCCAATATCCTCATCTGTTTCATTGACAAGTTCTCCCCACCTGTGCTCAATGTCACGTGGCTTCGAAATGGGAAACCCGTCACAACCGGAGTGTCAGAGACAGTCTTCCTGCCCAGGCAGGACCACCTGTTCCGCAAGTTCTACTACCTCCCCTTCCTGCCCTCAAATGAGGACTACTATGACTGCAAGGTGGAGCACTGGGGCTTGGAGAAGCCTCTTATCCAGCACTGGGGTATGGACCATCCTTCAACCTCCTTTATTTTATGTGTTTCCTTCTGTGATGCATATGTCTGGTCCTTTGGGACTCAGAGTCACCACACTAGTTCATAACAACGGCTAAAATTCCTGGTCTTGTCTTCTCCCGTTATCCAGCTTTCCTTGCTCTCTAACTTGTAATTCCCTTAATGCATCATTGTATCTTCTTTTTCTTTGGTTGATTAATAACTATTGTTTTGACTTAGTACCACATTCATTGCCTCTGTACTTTGTTTTTTATTTCCCCAGAGTTTGAAGCACTGACCCCCCTCCCAGAGACCACAGAGAATGTGGTGTGTGGCCTGGGCCTGGTTGTGGGTCTGGTGGGCATCATTGTTGGGACCGTCCTCATCATCAAGGGCGTGCGCAAGGGCCAAGCTGCTGAACGCCGAGGGCAGCTGTGAGGCACTTGCAGGTGGGTGTGGTGTGTCCAGAGGAAGATGGGTGGGGTTGTCAAGAAAAGGAAACAGAGTGGGGAAAAGGATGGGGGAAATCATAGCTCTTGACTTACCTTTGCTTGGACAGAATCAGACACAGGCATTGTCTGATATCCCCAAGCTTCAAGGTTGGCCATTTGGATATTTATACCATCATCTGCAGGCCATTCAAAATTATCAACTTAAAAATCAACCTGCTATATTTGGTCAAACATTAAATTAATTAAATTAATTAATATCTTAGCAGGGCCAGACCAAATGATTTTGCGCACCTTTTTTAAAAAAATATATATTTTATTGATTTTTTTACAGAGAGGAAGGGAGAGAGATAGAGAGCTAGAAACGTCGATGAGAGAGAAACATCGACCAGTTGCCTTTTGTGCCCGCAACCAATGTACATGCCCTTGACCGGAATCGAACCCGGGACTTTTCAGTCCGCAGGCCGACGCTCTACCACTGAGCCAAACCGGTTTTGGCGATTTTGCGCACCTTGTATAGCCCACGGGCCAGATGGTCCCTACCACTGACCTAGACATTCAGTCTTGGGAATTATCTCCAGACCTAAGACTACTATTTAACATTAGAATACAAGGCCCAGTGGTTCAGGAAGGTTAGTCTCAAGATTTGGGCACTTCCTGGCTTGCATTTTCTGAGCCAGACCATCAGGAAAAAAGCATTTCCACAGCTCTTTCGGGTCAGTATGGGCTTACTGTGTGAATCTGGAAAGTGGTATCAGGGTTCTAAGAGAAGGTAAAGCATGGTTTGCTCATTCATGCAGTTCATGTTGGAAACGTTGTGTTTACTAGAAGTCAGATGAATATTAAGAGACTTTTTCAGAGTCAAAGGACTAAGGAAGAAGGGGAAGGAATCTGAAGGTAAGTGCTCAAATATTCATCTTAAACTCTTTAAAACTCTTTAAAAACTATGTGTGTCCTCCTACAGGGAATGGACTTGCTTACGGAGAAGATCAATGAAGAGATATCTGCTTTAATATCTTTACACACCTGGCACTTCTCCAGATGTTCACCTCAGTGAGGACAACCATTCTTCAGCACTTCCAGCCCCTAAATCAGTCTACGAGGGGTGATGCCTGCGTCTTAGTCTCTCCGTATTCCAGGATCTGGTTGGGCTGCCCTGTCCGTTGCCCCTTTCTACATCTGCTTTCCCTCCATTTCCCATTACCTTTTTTACTATCAGCGATGCCCCTGCAATGATAGGCCATAAGATCCTTTCTTTGCTATGATAGCATCTCCTGTATATTTCTTGCTTGGGATTTCAAACTGTAGTTGTGTTTTTTCTAAATACAATAAATATTGGCTGAGTATAGGTGGAGTTTTTGGTGTCTGAGTCAGTTCTTCACAGGGGCTGGGGAATATACATGCTCCCTTCATCCTCTCTAATTAAAACCCAGGTTTGTTAGGGTGTGGTCTCATTCAGAGGTTCTGTAACCAATCCAGTTGCTGGGGTCCAGTCCTCACCTGGAAAACTCCAGAGGAAGGTTTGTTGGGAGATCTCTACCGAGCAACCAGTTCAGAATTTGGTTTAGGTTCTTGAGCCTCCAAGACAATGAAACATCTGGATCTTCAGTAGAGTGAGTCTCAATGCCTAGGGTTTGGCCTCTGAAAATAGAGGTGAGGAAGTGTGAGAGGATGGGGTGGAGAAGAGAGATAATCCTCTCACTTAGCACCAAGTATTTAAGGTTTCTCCATGTTTTTTTTCATAGCTTAAAACTTATTTCTTTTTATCACTACATACTACTTAATTGTGTGAATGTACCACTGCTTATTTATCCACTCATCTATTGAATGACATTTGTGTTACTTCAAGGCTTGGTCATTGTAAATAAAGGTGCTGTAAACATTTATGGGTGGGGTCTTGTGGAGACAAAGTTTTCAACTCATTTGCGTGCATCCCTGAGACTGTGATGCTGATCAATGGTCAGAAGCCACCAGTGTCTTGCAAAGTGACTGTACCACTTTGCATTCCCAGCACCAATGAATGAGTCCCTTGCTAATATTTGGTATTTTGAATGTTCTGAATTTTAGCTTGAAAGCTAATTTTTAAAAACTTTTTATTTGAACTAATGATAGATTCACAGGACGTTGAAAAGACAATACATAGAGATGCTGTGTACCCTTCCACTATTTCCTCAAATGGTTATATTTTAAGAAACTATAGCACAGTATCAAAACCAGGAAACTGATATTGGAACATTGTGTGCCTACAGATCTATTGCTTTGTTTTATCACATTTTAGATTTGTGTAACCACCAACACAATCAGGCACAGAACCCTCCATTACCACAGAGCTCTCCCTCACGCCTCCCTTACACACTTCCCTCCAGACACCGCCCCTAACATCTGACTTCTGCTGATCTGCTCTCCATCTCTATGTGAGTTTGAGAGCGGCAGGTAAATGGAATCAGACAGTATGTGACTTTCTGAGTCTGGCTTATCTCACTTTGCATAACGCCCTCCAGAGCAATCCAAGTTTGCGTGTATGGACAGCTGGTTCCCTTTTGCTGCTGAGTAGTGTCCCACAGTATGGCTGCACCACAGCATGTCTGTTCACCTACTGGCAGGCGCCGCTGCTGTTTATAGACGGGCTGTTAGAAATAAAGCTTCTGTGACCACTCGTGTAACGTTCTGTGTGAACGTGAGTTTCCACGTCTCTGGCATTAAGGTACTGAAGTGTGATGACCTGGTCCTGTGGGAAGTGTATGTTTCGTTTTTTTTAAGAAACTGACAAACTTTTTTCCAGAGACATGGCACTGCTCTGCGTTCCCGCCCTCAGCCATGAAGATTCCGTTTCTCACCAGCATTGGGCACAGTCAGCACTTTATGTTTTGGCTGTTTTCACAGGGTGCATCATAATCATGTCCTCTTTCTGCATTTCTCTTGTGGCTGCTGCTGTTAACGTCGTCCCGTGAGTGCTCAACTGCCGTCTGGGCACCTGTGCTGGGATGCCTCTTCCTATCTTAGCCCCATTTTGACCTCGGGTGTTTTAGTGTGCAGTTAGGAGAGGATGCGTGCCCTTGGTAACATTTGGGGAGTGCAATTATTTTTCTCTGCCTATAGGTTATCTTTTCATCCTCTTAACAGAATTTTTGCAGAACATTTTTAATTTTGATAAAGCCCTATTTCTTGATGTTTTCCATTTATGTCTAAAAAAATCCTTACCAAGCCCTAGGTCCCAAAGGTTTCCTATGTTTTCTTCTAAAATTTTTATATTTTACATTTACATTTTTTATCTAGCCCTGGTCGAATGGCTCCCTTGGTTTTGATACCGTTGTAATTAGCTAATTAGTTTTTTTAATGTATTTTCCTTTAAAAAATATATATTTTATTGATTTTTTACAGAGAGAAAGAGAGAGGAATAGAGAGCTAGAAACATCGATGAGAGAGAATCATCGATCAGCTGCCTCCTGCAAACCCCCCACTGGGGATGTGCCCGCAACCAATGTGCATGCCCTTGACCAGAATCAAACCCAGGACCCTTCAATCTGCAGGCTGACTCTCTATCCACTGAGCCAAACCGGATTCGGCTGTAATTAGCTAATTATTAAAAGAGGAAAGGAGCAAAGGAAAGGCCAGACATTACAGGCATGTTCCCTACAAGACTTTGGGGCCTGGGATAGGACTGACAAAGGGAAGATAGGCAAACACCCAGGAAAGATGGGATGACATTGGGAAGGTGCTGGCTTGCTGTCAATCACACCTGGGGACAGAGATGATTGGCCAGATGGGCGTGGCCACTTCAAGCCTGCAGAAATTTGGGATATTTAATCGCCTGAACAAAGGAGTTCACTCCCTTGTGCTTTCAGGACCCTTGGGACTCTTGTTGCTTGGGGCATGGTCTCCTGATTCTCCTGTGTGGCCACAGCCATGTGGACCCCACACACAATGGACTAATGGACTGCAGCTGCCCTGGTGCTGTACTGGATCTGGCTCCAACAAGGAAAGGGAACTCTGGACACTAGCTTTGCTTCTACTGTGTTTCCCCGAAAATACGACATCCTCCGAAAATAAGACCTAGCGCATGGAAAGATAAGACATTCCCTAAAAATAAGACCTAGCGCAACTGTGGGAGAAAAAATTAATATAAGGCATTGTCTTATTTTCAGGGAAACAGGATAGCTTGACTGAAAGTCCAGCTGTACTTTTTCTATGACGGGACAAAGGGAAATGAGACTTCAGAAACCCAGGATATAATTCCATGGAAATAAAGCTTTCTACTGTACCTCATGCTCCCATGGGGGCCTCAGAAAATGTTATTCCAGCAGTACCGTAAGAACCCCACTTTCATCTGTAAGAGTTGAAGCATCATCCCATACACCAAAAAGGTTTTGGGTTCAATCCCCAGTCGGGACAGGGAGGTTGTTTGGGAGGCAACTGATTGATGTTTCTCTCTGTCTCTTCCTTCCATTCTCTAAAATCAATACATTTATCCTCAGGTGAGGCTAAAAAAATTTTTTTGGTTCAGTTTGAATGAATTTTTAAAAAATAATGTGTGAGAATTGGTCTCATTTCTTCCTTTCTTCCTTCCTCCCTTCCTTCCTTCCTTCCTTCCTTCCTTCCTTCCTTCCTTCCTTCCTTCCTTCCTTCCTTTCTTTCTTTCTTTTTTTTTTTTTTTTACATTTTTCTTCCTTTTTGTTTTTTTCCCCTTTCTTCCTTTCTTTTCTCTTTCCTTTCTCCTCTCTCTCTCTCTCTCTCTCTCTCTCTCTCTCTCTCTCTCTCTCTCTCTTTCTTTTGGTTTAAAGTGAAAGAGAGTTTCTCAGTGGAGGAATGGGCGAGAGAGAAAGAAGGGTACTCCAGAGGTAGAGCAGCCTCCTTCCCCGCCCCCATGGATATTCACTTCCTCCAGCATCATTGTTTGAAAAGACCATCCATCCTTCATTCAATTGCTTTGCACCTTTGTCAAAAATGACTTGGCATTCCCTAGCCAATTGCCCAGTGGTTAGAACATCAGCCTATGGGCTGAAGGGTCTCAGTTTTGATTCCAGTCAGGAGCACTTAGCTCAGTTGCAGGCTTGATCCCCATGGGTCTGTTTCTGGATTCTCTATTCTGCTCCATCAGTCATTGTCCATTCCTCCACAATACCCATCAGCCTTGGCTAGTGAAGCTATACAAAGGTCTTAAGCTTGGTTAGAGAGAGTGATCTCTCTATTTCTTTTACCAAATTTATTTTGTTTATTCTTCTTCCTTTGCTTTTTTATATAAATTTTAGAGTAACTTCGTCTACAGCTATTAAAATTAATGCTGGGAATTGATTAAAATTGCATTAAAGTAAGAAATGTTACATCAGGAAATAAGTGATATCTTTTACTATTTTTCAGCTGATGAATATAGTATCTCCATTTATTTAGATTTTTGATTACTTCCATCAGCATTTCAGCATACAACTCCTAAATGTGTTCTGATAGAATTACATTTATGTTTCCTTTTTATTTTTAGTGATTATAAATGATATTGTGTTTTTAATTTTTGTATTATGTCTTCATTGCCATACGCAGAAATATAAATCAAATTTGTTCGTGGATCTTGGGTCCTGCAACCTTGATGAACTCCCTTATTAGTTCTAGCATCAAATATATCAAATATCTAGGAATAAATCTAAAATATAAACAAGATTTCTGTACTAAAAACTACATGACATCATTGGGAAAAATTAATGCACCTACAAAAATGACACGAATACACAAATTAGAGAGTATAAGAGTAAATATATCAGAGATGTCAGTTTTCTCCAAATTAATCTATATTCAGGAAAAATATCATTAATAATCATGGCAAAAATTTTTGTTTGTTTTCTTGTTTATCTTGTTTTAATTCTTCTAGTTTGTTTTTTTGTGTTTATTGTTTTTTTGGGGGGACTTTCAAGTTAAATTTAAAATTCATATTCATATCTAAATAATGAAGTTTTAAATTAGCCAAAAATTTTTTGAAAAATAAGAACAAAACTGGAAGAAATTTAGTATAAGGTAACAAAATGTTAATATTAATTAACATTATTGGTATTGGTCATATTAGTTTGAATCTTGTGGTATATATTGAATAGTTAACATAGTTGGCTCACAGTAGACAAACTAGACAACAGACAAAATTCCGGAAACAGATTTCTTCCAAACGTAGTGCTGTGATTGAGGGTGGCACTGCAATGCAATGGGAGGAATGTCATCCTTGCAGTCAATGCTGCTAAGTCACTGAAATGTCCTCTTGAGAAAATTTACTATGATATCTACTCAAATCATCAAAAAACAGCAACAATAACAACAAAAACAATTTAAGGTAAGGTGAAAAGACCTAGAAATTCAACATTGAAGCAAAGGGGG